GTTTGCAGGCAGTCCGAAAGGAGCAGCTCCAAATCTGCTGTCACTCTCGTTTTAGAGTAAAGTCTCGATAAGTGCTCGGAGTCAATTCTACGTTAAATGTTTCTGCTTGACTCCCGCTACTGAAGGTTTCCCCCTTGTGGCTTCTCTAAAATTTTCAATAACTAAAGAACCAAAAACAAAAAAAATTTCATCGTTGTTTTATTGCTATTAATCTTTGTCGACTGCTTCGACTAGAATTTCTCACTCTACGATAACTGTTTCAAGCCATAATCGAAAATTCACTGTATTTCCTTCTGATTTTTGAATTTTTCTATCCCAATCATAAGGTAATTGGACACCCTTCAAAGGGGGATCGAAGGTTAAATTTAACGTGTCAGGGTTTCATTTAATTAACACGCAATTTTCTAGATTCGATAGCAAGGCTATCCCCTCTTTCTACCAAGAGGAATCTCTAAGATCAATTCATGGAAGTTTCTCAGGGAAATTAGCGTATCATTGAGATTTACGGTTTGTCGTTCCTTAATCTTCACCGCGAGGGATCCTGCGTCACTAATTTCCCGAAGGACAGCACGCCCAGTCCACCGAGAAGGCTTTCCCGATAACGAAAACGCGGATAGAGAACGACTGCCTCCTCTGTCTCTGTGTGCGTGTGGCGTTCGTCAGTGGCATCGGTGGCCTGAGTCGTTTTGCGATTGATGGAACGTCTGATATAGGTGTGCGTCTATGTCTTTCGCGATTTTATAATGAGAGTATGATATCTGTAAGGTTCGCGTGTACGGAACAATGAACCCTTCACGTCGATTCTGTTTTATTTTCAGGAGCCAAAGGCTCTGTTTTATCCAGCGCTAGGTGAACGTCGATACCCTATCGGAAACGGATATTCAAACGGGGCGGTGCTCCGAATCGCGATTTCGAGATTAACGAGGTCGAAGGTCCAAGGATGGATCGTGTTCGCACGGAATATAGGTAAAAACGTCGAGTTTCGAAATGATTCGGGTCAGTTCGATTTTTCGAGTCACAGAAAAAAAAAAGGGGAAGAGAAACGCGTGGCTTGCAGGTGTTTCTTCGTTACCTTTTTACTTTCTTTTTTTCTAGCTTTCGTTTCTCCTGCCTGCAAACGATTTAGAAGTCGTCCGCGATTGATTCGATCCCCGTGATATATATACGGGCCCTCGTACGTTCCAACTCTCTCGAGAATAATCCTCTCGACTTCAATTTTTAACGACTCTCGGTCGATCATATCCTCGAACGAAGAGAAAAGTCACCTTTGCCTTCGAGGATCTGCGATCATGATTCCTCTACGTTTTTCAAGAATCAACAGCAACGTTGTTCTCAGATCTTCATCCATAAGAAAGTAGTCGAGAGTAAATTCCAATCGATTCATTCGGGGCCTCGCGAAAACAATAAAGTATCATCGTGTTAATCAATAGTTACAACCTTTTTCTGTGTATGTTACATTCCTACGCGGCCTAATTGTCGACCGCACGTTTCCCTAAGGACGCTAACTAAATCCAGCCAGTAGACTGTCTTACAATGTTCCTTATAATCCATTGAACGATTGTTCTCACTGAGAACAATTTTACACTTCTTGAATATCGATTCACGACGATTCTGCCTCTTGTTACTCCACTTAGGATAGAAAGTATCAGCCAATTGAAGCAATTTTCGAGAGCTCTTCTCCTTCACTTTCTGCGATCATTAATGACCAGTCGAACAGGTGGTCTTCGTGGATCCTTAAACAGCCATTATTCCCTATTCTAGTGGTAACAAGAGATTCATTATTCCTATCAACATCGCAATTCGAAGCTGTTTGTGTGTGACTCCTCTGATGTCCGTTTTTCGATCCTCTTAAGCTAACACGTCGCGAGCAACGCGATACAGAGCGACCCTCGATCAAAGGCAGTGAACACCAAAACGAGAACTTTGACATTCGAGCGAAGGCCGTCGGCATCGGTTTGCGTACCACGATCCGCAATTAATTATGTTTCTCGGGCTACCTAATTGTCCTTAACACATAAGAAATATGTTTCGTCGTGACGGCGAACGGATTTTTGATCGACGAAGATCGCGAAAGGGCGGCTTTTTCTTATCGGTGTTTTCCCTTCTGTTCGAGAACTGTGCGATTTATGGTTGATTTCCTGGAAATTTTCCTTTCGTTTGAAGGTTGAATTCCCTGAAATTTTCCTTTCATTTGAAGGTTGAATTCCCTGAAATTTCTCTTTCATTTGAAGGTTGATTTCCCTGAAATTTCCTTTTCATTTGAAGGTTGAATTCCCTGAAATTTTCCTTTTATTTGAAGGTTGAATTCCTTGAAATTTCCTTTTCATTTGAAGGTTGAATTCCTTGAAATTTCCTTTTCATTTGAAGGTTGAATTCCCTGAAATTTTCCTTTTATTTGAAGGTTGGATTCCTTGAAATTCCCTTTTCATTTGAAGGTTGATTTCCCTGAAATTTCCTTTTCATTCGAAGGTTGAATTCCCTGAAATTTTCCTTTCATTTGAAGATTGATTTCCCTGAAATTTCTCTTTCATTTGAAGGTTGAATTCCTTGAAATTTTCCTTTCGTTTAAAGGTTGATTTCCCTAAAATTTCCCTTTCATTTGAAGGTTGAATTCCTCGAAATTTTCCTTTCGTTTAAAGGTTGATTTCCTTGAAATTTCCCTTTCATTTGAAGGTTGAATTCCCTTGAAATTGACCCTTCTTTCGAAAATCGATTTCCTTGAAATTTCCCTTCCTTCTGAAGGGTGTTTTCCTTGATTTCTCCTTTGTATCGAAAGGAATTTTTACAATTTCCAAACGTACATCCTATCTCATTGTACATTTTCCCCATTCTCTTCCTGCAAGCATCGTCGACTGTGTTCGTCTCGTATTCGCTTTAAGGACTCCGACATTGCGATGCAAATCGATCCGATCTCCCGTTCTGACATAAACGCAACTACGATTCCCACCCCCTCGGGCTTGCATCACGAGGCGAAGCATCGAGGATCGGAGAGCTGAAAGGAATATATCGGTACGGTAATGCATGTTTATAGAAAATTAGCGTTACAATATCGTTCTCCGAGGGAAAAAATGACCCTGCCATAGAATCTTCGCTACTAAAATACCATAGAAACCTGCGTTCCTCGGAGGATTAAATAAATATGCTATTTTACCTGTGTGTGTCCTCTGTCTGCCTCTCTGTATTGCTATGTGTGTATATATATATATATGCGTGTAATATAGTATATATATATATTCTTTTCCATTTGGATAACCGCCGTGAACGTACGAGGCACACGGCTCGAGACTAGAACGCTTTTGTTTATTCTCTTACCTACAGTATATTCCTCTCGTTAGTTTTATCCGTTTAAATTAATTTAAGGCAAACTCACTGTTCTTCCTCTCACACGTAAGCTTCTTTTTCGTTTTCTATCTTGCAGTTTCTTCTTAATCTACTACCACACGTATCGTTCAATTATTCGTTCCGTTCTTCATTTTCCCAGTCACACATAATACACATCCACGCGTTCCTCGTTCATTCTCTGTCCTTATACAGGTACCCAACACGTATACACGAACATTTTATTTTCACACAAACGTCACGCGATATCCCGTTCGTTGTTAATCGTCCCGGATTTCGGGGGTGGATGGGAGAGGGTGAAAGCGACCAGTAGCAGTATTCCGGCGGGTAGAAGCTCGTTGTTCGCCCAGCGAAATCGCACCCCCTTCGATTCCACTTCCCTTCTGTCCTGCAAAGGAGAAACAAACAAAAAAAAAAAAAAACATAACGATAAATCGGTCGGATAAAAAACTGTCTTCACATTCCTCCCTTATTTCCTCGATTTTCTACGATGAAATTCGTGTTCCGTGAATTTGGGTCGTCGCGAATACTCGTCGGACAGAAACGATTTTTCGTGATTTTTTAGCGTCGCGACGCTCCGATGCTATATTTAAACGGCCTGATCAGACGAAGCCAACTGCGTGTTTTTGGGACACGTAACCGTGGTTCGTTAACGACGGATTTCCTGGGTGTAAAGCGATACAGGGTGGTACTTTGCTTCTCTCGCGGGTGTAGTAATGACGAGGGGCGAAAATAGAGCGATGTTCGTTAGCTATCCGTGGATCGTTTATAGTACAGACTCGCATAAGCCTACCACCGATAACAAGTTGTTTGTGGATAGAGGATTTTCCATGGCGTTGTCTAGAGAACTATCGAATTTTCAATTTAATCGAGAGTATTTTATAGGTAACACTGTGTTGGTGTATTACACTGGTTTTCCAAGGTATTGCACGCACTGTGATAAGTAGACAGCGGATTTTATGCATTTATAGCCTATAGGGCACCCCCAAATATAATAAAAGAAACAAAATTTTCATCAGAAGCAACGAATTTTCTATTTTATTCTTCCTCCAATAAGATACTTAAGAGAAGAAAGAAATTCAGGCAGAAACCAACCCTTAAAAATTAGTGTTGTATTTTCCTATTTTCCTGTACATCTTGAAAACTATAGTTAGATATTTATAATAGTTAAGGTACTAGAGATAAGTGATGATAAATATTAGACCAAAATAAGAGCTATAAAGCCAGGGTTAACCCCTTGGCTTGCAACATCGTGTCAGTCACGTGATAAAAAAGACTGAATTTAGTGAACATGTATATCATTCTTTTTCTTTGAGTCTACGTGAAATACTGTTCCGCTGGTATTAATATTTAAGGTTTAGTTTTAATATTAAGAATTCCTTTTCTATATGGGAAAATATTAACGATAAAATAATTCCAGGGAGCGAAGTCGTAAAAAAACAAAATCGTATGACAAGGGGTTAATGAAATTTAATACACTTGCTGTGGATTTTATAATAGACGTGCAATACAGTTTGGAACACCAGTGGTATGTCGACGAATGTGTGCACCACTTACCGAGAGAACGTTTCGTTGAGCACACGCCTTGGCGGACGTAAACAGTTTAAGATAACACGCGACAGCAGGTAGGCCGACACGTTTGGCGTTTCCTCGGGGGCTCCTTAGAAGCCCTCGATGACGCCGTAGGCCTCGAGGGTCGACATGACCAGATAGAACACCCACAAGGAAAAGAGGATCGAGGATGTGACCACCTTCGGTACAAAAGGCCCTCCCAGCTCGCCGCCGATGCTCTTCGTCCGCCTCAGTAGCAGAACCAGGATCACCAGACAGGCTTCCGTGCAGAACAGCGTCACGGAAAAGGCCAGGCTGTCGTGGACAGAATCATTTTCGTCAATTATACTCTTATATTCAGGTACACTATCGCTTATAAGCATTAGGACATCGGGTTTGTATGAAGAAACTGTGATTGTGTCTCGTAAAAATGATGCATTTCAGGCCACTTTTATTACTTTATTGTTTTAATATTCGCTAGACAATATTTATTTCAGACTTGTAGGAATTTCCTAATGCCTTTTAATATTTACTGCATATTCGATAAGTGTCCTAATATTTTAATGCGGGAGGGTATGTCACAGATAGCACACAGACGGCTTAAAGACGTCACGGACCTAAAATAGCCGTAAAATGGACGTCTTCAAGGCGTCATGTGGTATCTGGTATCTATTCAAGCAGAAGAGAAATGTTGCAATACGAATAGAAGTCAAATACTACAAACGGCTACAAATCTGAAACTAAACAGTTAGTGGTTCAAATGTTTTTAGTTCGACGATATTGTTTTTCAATTCACACAAACAATTTTCGACACCCGCGTTTCCGGTTAATGCGAACTCGATTCGATACGTCCAGCGAAAACGATCGAGAACATGGCGGCGCCATCTGGGTCCAAGTCGCGTTACTACGATCCCCTGTTCCGCGGATGCATCTGTTACAATACCAATGATATATGGGCTCAGCGGCGGATCAACGTCGCCCGACACGATCGTTTCGATATCAATTATACCGTGTCAGCTGATGAGTTTTCCTCGAGCCTGCCCAAAATCAACACCCTTCTAGTTTGCCGTTCAAAACTAAACACCCTTGAACTCGACGCGTCCTCCCTGAAAGCCTCGAGGATCCAGCCGATTGAAGTTCATCAGTACGACAAGTTGTACGGCAAGTTGCAAGACAAGTTGCAAGACATGTTGCAAGACAAGTTGGAAGACAAGTTGCAAGACATGTTGCAAGACAAGTTGCACAGCAAGTTGCAAGACAAGTTGCAAGACAAGTTGCAAGACATGTTGCAAGACAAGTTGCACAGCAAGTTGCAAGACAAGTTGGAAGACAAGTTGCAAGACAAGTAGGAAAACAAGTTGCAAGACAAGTTGCACAGCAAGTTGCAAGACAAGTTGCAAGACAAGTTGCAAGACATGTTGCAAGACAAGTTGCAAGACAAGTTGCAAGACATGTTGCAAGACAAGTTGCACAGCGAGTTGCAAGACAAGTTGCACAGCAAGTTGCAAGACAAATGGGAAGAGAAGTTGCAAGACAAGTTGGAAGACAAGTTGCACAGCAAGTTGCACAGCAAGTTGTAAGACAAGTTGCAAGACAAATTGCAAGACAAGTTGGAAGAGAAGTTGGAAGACAAGTTGGAAGGATTTATCGTACAACTAACTGCAGAACATAAATTGCTTCGGCCGTTTGAAAGACAGTTGCAACACGTTTATTGCGTCTGTCAATCTGCCTTTGGAACTGTCTATCCATCCTGTCGTACAACCTGAAATACAGTATTTGTATTGGTAATTGTATCGTCTGCGGGACCCTCTTAGAGGATGCGTGAACGTGTTACGATAAGCTCGTCGAGATACGGTTTCCCACAAGTGTTCGTGAAATTCATACGAAGGAATCGGATGTATCCCCGGTTCGCGAGATTTCCCCAGTAGCGGAGAAAATTGTGGATGTACCGCGGAAACGCATCCGCGGGTGTCTTGCATAGGAAACACCTGATTACCGGTGAGCAACGACTCCAAGGGCTCGATCGAACCACCCCACCCACCAGCGCTGTGCCGCTTTCTGCTGCGCCCCACGTAAATATTTATGATCGAATTCGTTGGAAACCGCGGTCGTTCCGGTTTTCACGGGGAAAACAAGCCCGTGCTGTGCCTGCCGTTCGATACGCGTTACCCTGTACAAATGGGAGGCGGTGGCTAGGTCTTGATCATAAAAATGGAATTACTGTTCTCAGCTAGACGATCTTACGTTTGATTCTCTGTTCGTCGATCACCCTCATGGCAACGAATCTTCTTTGTTTTACCTGGACGGCTGAATAACTACCATTATACAGGGTGTCCCAAAATAGCGATCAAATTCGACTTCCAGAAATGTAGGGTTCTTGGGAGTAGAAGATATTTAGGGACACCCTGTATAGGAGGATATGTTTAGAGGATAATGAGACTGATTCTATAGGAATAGTGATTAGCAACTCAGCTAGAAGTCAATATTATCGTCTTCAAAATAGTTCTCTTGGGAAACCATATACTATTAAGGTGCGTATCCATTTGTTGCATAACCTTGTATTGTATCACTCAATGGTACATTTTCATACGCTACGATTGCAACGCTTGGATACACACCTTTAGTGTTAATTTGTAGTTCACTTGTTACTATTTTACATTTCTTGACAACCAGTCTTGTTACTGTTTAAACACACCTCGTATATAGTTCCTATTCCCTCGAACTATAATCCACGATTTATTCTAGAAGTAAAACGGACTCGGTTCACACGGCTGATCGGCTCTTTTCTAAAGCAGCTGTCCTGTATGTCCCGATATTGGACGAAATATCGATAGGGCATATTACGCCCAGGAAAATATTCCTGTCGATACGTCCGCGGGGGGGATAACAGTTTTCCAAGCCAGGTGACACTGTCATCGGCGCCGATCACGTTTCGGCCTATAAATCGACAAGCAAAAATCGTCGCCAGTTTCTGTCGCAGATCGCGGGCCAAATTTCTTCCAAGCACTTCCATATTATGGAGATCGTAGACAGGAAATGACAGGGCCGGTTATCGGGCTCCACCTGATATTGTTTCGTTTCCGCCTTGTCGCGCCTTATCCGATCCCTGTCTCGTCGATGCATTGTGGCGCAGATGAGTATCTCGTTGCCTCGAGTCTCCGCCGTAATGTTTCCTACTATCTCGTAAAAGGACTCCGAACGTTCGCGAGATTCGTTTCTATGGAGTGGGGAGTCGTTGGATCTTTCTTCGTGGATGTTAATGTTCAGACGAACGATACGCCATGTGCCTTTTATATGGATGTTTAACACTTTGACTGCCACACGTCGTTCAAATATGGGAGGACTGAGATTCAAGAAAAACTTGAGATTCTGATCAAGATAGATACCTATATCGTAATTCAAACGGACGGAGAGTTAGTGATCTATCTTATATTTTGGAAGAAGCTGTACAAGATCGAGAAATGAGGGTAACATCGGTACCGTTTAGGCGCCAGAAGCTGTAAGGAATGTTAAGGTTCAGTTTAGGATAGATACAGGGTGATTCAAAGGGGTGGAGACTTAGTGGTCTATGATATATTTTGGAAGAAGCTGTACAAGATCGAGAAGTGAGGGTAAAATCGGTACTGCTTAGGCGCCCGAAGTTATAAGGCAAATTAAGGTTCAGTTTAAGATAGATACAGGGTGATTCAAAGGGGTGGAGACTTAGTTGTCTATCATATATTTTGGAAGAAGCTGTACAAGATCGAGAAGTGAGGGTAAAATCGGTACTGCTTAGGCGCCAGAAGCTGTAAGGAAAGTTAAGGTTCAGTTTAGGATAGATACAGGGTGATTCAAAGAGGTGGAGACTTAGTGGTCTATGATATATTTTGGAAGAAGCTGTACAAGATCGAGAAGTGAGGGTAAAATTGGTACTGCTTAGGCGCCAGAAGATACAAGGAAAATTAAGGTTCAGTTTAGGATAGATACAGGGTGATTCAAAGAGGTGGAGACTTAGTGGTCTATGATATATTTTGGAAGAAGCTGTACAAGATCGAGAAGTGAGGGTAAAATCGGTACTGTTTAGGCGCCAGAAGCTATAAGGAAAGTTAAGGTTCAGTTCAAGATGGATACAGGGTGATTCAAAGGGGTGGAGACTTAGTGGTCTATGATATATTTTGGAAGAAGCTGTACAAGATCGAGAAGTGAGGGTAAAATCGGTACTGCTTAGGCGCCAGAAGATACAAGGAAAATTAAGGTTCAGTTTAAAATAGATACAGCGTGATTCAAAGGGGCGGAGACTTAGTGGTCTATGATATATTTTGGAAGAAGCTGTACAAGATCGAGAAGTGAGGGTAAAATCGGTACTGCTTAGGCGCCAGAAGATACAAGGAAAATTAAGGTTCAGTTTAAAATAGATACAGGGTGATTCAAAGGGGCGGAGACTTGGGATCGAAAAGTGAGGGTAAAATCGGTACTGACTTGCCGGGCTCCACTTCGAATTTTTCGCCGTGACAGGCATGGTAAACGGCTGCGATGCTCCACGCGATGCCGATCCCCAGGAAGACGTTCACCGCGTTACTTCCGGTCACGTTCCCGACACTCGCGTCGGCGTACTTGTCCTGGCAGGCGGCCACCTTGCTCGCAAACGTATCTGCAATGAAATCACACCCTCAGAGATTTTCTTTCCGCGTACGTTCCACCCTTAAATCTAGAGCATCTTCTGTAATGTAAGAAAGTTTATTTTACTACCACATTTGACCTTGCATGACCTTCAATGATAGCTCGCATGAACTCGTCTCAACACCGGCTATCACATCGCGATAAAAAAAAACATAGCATTCCATTAAAAAAAATAGAGATGACCTTGAAATCTCCTGTATACCTTCACTCACGCTTAAAATGTTTGTGTCACAATATGCCTCCCTCTATACCGTGTAACTTTTGTATATAACATTTTTTAATATTATTACAAATAACGGCAATATACAAAGTGGACATAGTTATTCGTTTATCCCCGCGTTTAAGGCAGGGTCTACTAGATAGCCTTACCGACGAGTCCACTAATAGGCCCAGATCGGCACCAGATCGTCGCCAAACGTGTTAACGGAAACGTAGTCGCGACATTCAAAGGAAATCATCGTAACAAGGGACCTCGAAATGCCCAATAACGATGCACAATTAATGTAATCGCCGTATTACTGTTAAGCGAGACTCCGTCAATAGAATATTCTCTCGTTGTACGTTACCTCGATTCCCAATTAAGTGCCATCTCGTTCTCCCATTCGAACCGTTCGAAGCTCCAACGTACTATTCCAGGAGCAAGGAATATCGCGGTCCGTCCTCGTTACGCGTCGCTGTGTACGGGTACGTTCAAGATAGTCGACGTACATACATACAACGGGAGAATACTATACCGCAGGTTACGCGACGCGTCCCACCAGTAGTATATATCCGGTAGCTGAGATTCAACGAGAGCACTAAAGCCTGCGGCGCGCCGCGATTTGTGGCAACACCTTGCCATACCTCGGACACGTCGTCCGTACCAGTTTGCAGTTTACGTGGCTCGCTGCGTTTACCCGAGCATACATAAAGCCTGGTTCAACGGCGTCGTCCTCACGGAATAATAACAGGCACACACTGAATCTGGTAACGAACGTGCGTGCATAATCCAGGTAACGTAAATTCGTTAGATGACTGATCAAACGGTCGGTTCGTCAACGGTTCTCGCGACAGGGTCAAATTTCGGGGCAATGGATCTCGAAGTCTTTAATGAAGGGGGGATTCAGGAGCCCTTTCTTGGGGGGTAGTAGTCCAGAATAAAAATTTAGCAGGTTAAATGGTGAAAACAAATTTCTTCTGTCTTCCAAAAAATGTATATCGACTTATTATTAACCATGGAAGGTTTGTTTCATATATTATTGTCCTCCTTGGACTCTTTCGTATCATTTATCACAGTCAAAAATAGAGAAAAAAGTTTCCTTAAAATTCGGACTTTCATGAAAATGTTGAGAACACTGCTGAGTGAAGTCTTGGGGGGAGGCGATCGCCCTTATGGTCATGGGCGTAGCCAGGGGACAGGGAGGGGGCCACTTGCCCCCCCCCCCTGGACGAAAAAAAGTGGGTTTTGCAATACTTTAGAAGACAAAAATTGGACTTTGCCTCCCCTTCACGGAGGAAAAAAATTACATTGCTTACCCCTGGCTACGCCCATGCCTATGGTCCTCCTTTAGATCGGCCACTGACTCGAGAGAAGACATCATCGGTCGCGAAACAACGATCCCGGAAGTTTAGTGGACCATTCTGAGGGACGCGAATTCAGGGAAACAATCGTCGTATTTCCAAGCGGTGGAGCCAGGCGATATAAATTGCGAGCGGCGCGAACCAACTTTCAGATTTACGAAAGAAACTTCCCTGGGAGTCTGGCTCCGATATCCTTTGGAACTTTTAAAACGTCGCCGAGGCTCTTTGCCTCGACCGGGCGACTTCGGCTAATGTTGCTCTTTCCGTTCCCTTACTTTTGTACTTTGTCATCGTCTCTCAAGCCGCGTGGTTCTGCAATCGATAAGGAATTTTTCGTAAGCGAAACCGTTACCGTTTAATCCCGATCCTGTTCCTCCATATTTAATTTAATTTAATTTAATTTAATTTATTGCCATTAACGGGATATTGCGCCATCACCGCGTTCCTTACGAGGAGTTCTTGTTATTGGCCATTACGGCAATCAGAACGGCCTGTGCGTATGCACGCAGCTGTCGCGAATGGCCCGACGCGGGAACATTCATTCGTGTGTATCTACAGGGTGTCCCAAAATAGCGTCGACTCCCGGAAATGAGGGGTTCCTGGGATGATTTGAAACAACTTTTTCCTTAGCGAAAATGTTATCCGAGGCTTTGTTAACGAGATATTAACGAAATACCTCACGACCAGTTATCCTACAGCTCTGAGCGAGCAGTTATCGAGACTTTATTACACGTGTTGCCAGTTGCACAGACGGCGTTTGTTTTTTCTCGAATAAATTTGTGAATTAACGTTCAGAGTCACGGAAATTGATAGCTGAGATAGAGAAATCCTGCTCCACGTTCGAAGGAGTTCTCGATGCGACGCCACACTAACGAGTAATTCATTTCACCGGAGCCGGCACGTACGTTGTTTCTTTGTTAATTGAAGGTACAATGGCCCAGGCGGTATGACGCCGTGCATCCTGAAACTTTAATTTAATCGCGTTGGGTACGGTTCGCGCTGTGGTACAATGGGAGAACTGGATTATCGAGGTAATTTGCATATTCCGTGACTTGAAGAGCCGCTATCGGTACCATCGTTCTTTCTCTTTCTCTGTACATGGTTATAAAAATTCATGAAAATATCACCGGATGTTCTAGCCGTTCGTGCACTAGGTGACACTTGACGGCCGTTTACCATTCTGCGTTTACCACCACCTCTGACCTTTAATTGGAATTTCCCTTCGTTTTTTTTTGTTCCGAAGCTGCGATAAGAACGTTAATTTTCGTGTGCACCGTTCGATAAACTATTACGTTCTTATCCTTTGAAATACATTGAGCTGAAGATAAAATCGAATGGACCTTTGGATGGACGGTGTCTGGATCTACTTTGACCCAGGATTTCAGAAACTCTATGAACAATGTTAGTTTATAGAAATTAATTAACCCTATTACTTTACTTTAAAACTATTTAAAATATTTACAAAAAAATTGTTTGTGTTAACACGTTGACTGCCACAGTGAAAAAAGTCGTTCGTAGCCAGACACACTTTATTTCGTTAAGAATTTTTTTGTACGGCCAACTGTCAAGCAATGATCCAGATATTGTCACCATAGTTGAACACAACTTTTTCGAATAATACATAATGAAAAGCAACAGTAACTCTTTTTAATCTTCAAAAATATCCGTCTCATACCGGTTAATTACACCTCCAAGGCCGAAATAAAATATTCGAATGAAAATTTCTATTATTGAATTCTTTTATATAGAATTTATTTTATATAGACTTTTTCTTAGAATTTTTTTCTTTTACATAGACTTTTATTAGAATTCTATTATTTCTTCTATAGAATTCATTATCGAGAAAGTCGAAAGTTTTCACGGTCCCGCGCGGATATTGACTCGACGGCCGTTCGAATCAATCGCACGGTTGTTTCCCCGTTCCCGCGGACCGTTCGTGATTCGATATCGGTGAAATTTGTATAATTCCGCGGCTCGAGCATTATTTAAGGAACCATTGGCTTTCCCGGCGTCGCTTTTACGATCGCCGCGGCGGAAACTTCCGCAACCGGCACACGGATCTCATAAATATTTATGCTGGTTCGGTAGCTACCGTACCCGCGGCGGCCCGTTCGAGCCAAGATTCAGAGCGGAAGTATCGCTTCTCTCTTCTCTGTGGCGGCCCGGCCGCAATCTTGAAATCAGAGGGAGAACCACCCCCTCTTATTGTCCCTGTTCCTTTCCGTGGGCCTTCGTCGTGATATACCCGCGACGGTGAAACATGTTCGGACCAACTCTTCTCGAGATTGTTACGACGAGACCATCCTCGTTCTTTGTCAGATCCATAAATTACGATTCGCGTAAGCGATTTCCGACTTATAAGCTCTACGATATTATCGGAAGTTCGAGAATTGGTTCCTTGCATCCTTCGGATGAAGTTCGACTTGAATGTTGCAATAACATTCACCAGGGTAATTCGATCCTCCCCTCTTGAGGAAATTTTTCTGCTTTCGGGACAAACGTTCGATCTGTCCGCGAACTGGGACTACACCAATATATATATGGACCACCTTGCTATATGGCCGCTCTTTATACGTCATTTAGCTGTAACGGCCTTTTTTAATTATTTAAGTATTTTTATAGGATATAAAAAGAAGAAAATGCTTTATGAACTAAAAAGTATATTATTTTATGAAAAATTGGAACAGATCCAATTGAATATGTATGGGGTTTGTATCAAAATAATTGATTAGTGCGACACCGAACGTTTTTTTCCAACAACGGGGGCTCTCCTTCTGGAATCAATTAAAACAATGTAACAGGAACTAAGCAGAGGCTCGATTTCGTGCAAAAAACAAATTTACGAGGGACTGAAAATTTTCGTGCCTTGCCATGAACGCTCCGAAGTGGACCCAAGTATGTTGCACTTATCGAGACTTATTGTAGTTAGACCCGGACACGTTGAACTGTATAAACGCACAGTTATTTCAATTTTCTACATTGTCATCATATCCTACGGTTAATTATTTTTGATTAAGCAGTGTATTATATATTTTCTTAAAATGGAAAATATTGATGAAAATTAATAAGCATTGATAGAATTAATATTTATCTGCACATATATGAATGTACACGTCAGTTTGCGCGAATTATGTTTGAACGTGTAAACGGGCCTTAAGAGGCATCTTAATATTCGCCAAGAGTCTGGACTAATGGAAATGCGAAAGTCTTGTACGCCCCCCTTCCACTTCCGTCGAAGACGGACGATTGATCGAATCGTTCGCGAACCGGAATATAATCCATATAAAATTGGATAGCTCTGTTTTTGGAGGCTTACCGTCCAAGATTTTACGGATTCATTTTGGTAATGGGGCGGCCGGCGGCCTCGACCGGGGACACCTAATAAAAGTTGTCGAAACCCTGACGTACGGC